GAATGGACGTGGAACCGATGAACAGTGAAAGCCTGATTTATAAAAGGAATTGTGCAACCGCAAACACGAACGTTGTGAAATGCTCCAGTAAGTCAGGAACTGATATCTGGGGCCATTAAGCTGCTACCATCAAGGTATAAAGTATTAATGGAGGTGTAATGGAGGAGAAATTTATAAAATGAATAGCAAGGACGGTTTTGTAGTCTAAGTTCTAACAAGAGAATTTAACCGACAGTTAAATAGCAGGCAAAGTTTCTTTATAGCGAACTTTAAGACAGAGCTAAAGGAACTCTTGATTCACATACTATTAATGATATTATGCCTCCCAAGAACAAAAATAGTGCTGCAACTATGGATAAAAGCAAGACCATTAACATTTTTAGTTCACCCAAAACTCAAGAACGGACTATAACCAATAGATTATCTCAGGGTGAACCCAAGGAGTGTGTTCTTTTATCTCAAGACCCCTCTCAGATTGCCTCCCATCAAATATCGCACCAAACACTTAATGATGCTTTGGATACCTTGTATTGTAAATTAAAACAAGACCTGGATGACAATTCAAATCTATTGAGGCTAGAGATTGCCAATATATCTAATATTCTGCAAATTCAAGCAGATACACTTAAACAAGTACAGGCAAATAATAAAGACCTAATGGTAAAATGCAGCCAATTAGAAGGAAAACTTCAGGCTCAAGAGGTAAAATTGGGGTACTTAGAAGACAGATTGGGGAGGAACAATATTAAGCTGAGAGGAGTTCCAGAAACTATTAAAGAAACTATTAAATATGACCAACTGGATCAATTTTTAAAATCTTTTTTTCAGTAACTTATTCCAGAGACTTCCGTGGGGGATCTTCCATTTGAAAGGTTCCATAGGTTGGACAGACCAAAGAACCTGTCACCTAATACACCTAGGGACATTATGATATGTTTCTCCAATAATATAATTAAAAAAAAAAAAAAAAAAATCGGATTATGCAATCGGTACAGAAGAATGGCATTATTGATCCTGAGTTTAAAGACCTTAAGCTATTTTCAGATTTTTCACTGACAATGCGACAAGCTAGGAGGAAATTCTCTATTCAAACTGCTAGTTTGAGATCACATGGGATTAAATATAGATGGAATTTTCCAACGGCCTTGTTAGTATTTTTTCAGGATCGTCAATTTCTCTTTAAAGATCCCTAACGGCGCAAGAAACCATACAGTCTTGGAATTTGCCATAAATGATAGAATATGGAGAAGAGAATTCATGAATGTATACGGCGAAGAGAATATTTAATTTTTTTAATTTTTATTTTTCTTGTCCTATGTGCTATAATTGCATTTATTCATTAGCTCTCCTAACAAGTATATGTTGAGACGTTTGTATGATTATATTGATACATGTTGAGATATTGCACTTTTATGCACTGAATGTATTTTCACTTAATGCACTTTAACTCTATTTTGTTTACTGCGGTAGGAAATATTCAGTGGAGTATAAATTTGATTATATGTACATAGCACCTTTATACCACTATGTTGAACTTAGATATATATACCTTTTTTTTTTCTTTCTTTTTATATTATTGATGGCGCATGATGATTATATTTATAATGAGCTATATTACTTTTGGATATTTGTTGCATTTCTAAATATTGATTATATATTCACTTATCAAATTTAATCTTATGCTGTCTACGGGGTTAAGTAGTATTTATAGGATTATTAGGATTATAATCTGTATATTGATATACAACACTTTTATATAACGTTGATTGGACTGTGGATACTTTATTTATTTTTATTTATTTATTTTTTTTTTATCTGCCCTATGTGTTATGAGTACACTTTTGCACTAATCATCTTAACAAATATACGTTGAGATGATTGATAGATTACGATGAATGCGATATATGAGTTATATTGTTTTACTGTTAGTTGTTGCACTTTTAAGTACTGATTGTACTCTTAACAAATATATGTGGAGATGATGGAAAAGTATGATTACTATACACATTATTATTATTATTGCCATTTATATAGCGCCAACAGATTCCGTATCGCTTTACAATATTTTGAGAGGGGGGATGTAACAATAAATAGGACTATTACAAGAAAACTTACAGGAACAATAGGTTGAAGAGGACCCTGCTCAAACGAGTTTACAGACTATAGGAGGTGGGGTATTAGAAACATTAGGACAGGAAATATCAAGTAGGTGTGAAGCAGAGCTGGAGGAGAGAGCAAAGCACTGTCCCATAGGAGGGAGCAGGAGACAGGTATGTAAGGTAGAGATTACTCTGGGAGGCCATAAGCTTTCCTGAAGAGATGGGTTTTAAGGCCCTTCTTAAATGATTGAAGACTAGGGGAGAGTCTGATGGCAGTAGGCAAGCTATTCCATAGGAGAGGAGCCACCCGTAAGAGGTCCTGCAAGCGCGAGTTGGCCGTATGGGTGCGAGCTGTTCACGGGCAGAGCGGAGGGTATGAGGAGGGGCATATCTATGGACTAGTGAAGAGATATAAGATGGGCTAGAATTGTTCAGTGCTTTAAATGTATGGGTTGGGGCGTGGCCTGGCTACTCACGAGAATGGACGCGTGAGAGATCAGCTCCGACGGGGGTAAACGGAAAAAGCAGCAAATACAATAGCATACCCGACGAGGTAACCCACCTGTACCAGCAGAAGTGAGCTCTGCATCAACTATGGCCCAACGCACGGCAAAAAAAGCTAAAATCAGACCGGCAGAGCTGCAAATAGCGGCACTTACTCCGCCGCGAGGAAAGCCTCAAAATGGCGCCGAAGGCCCTAACTCACCCACAGCCTACTCCGAACGGAGTGACAGCACGTCAATATCCCTGGAGCCCACAATACCGGCCTCAGAGACAGCAATGCAAAGAATGATGCAGGAGCTGCAGAATAACTTACAGGCTGAATTCTCCAAACTTGCCAGAGATGTCCGCACGGATATTAAAGCAATATGCGAGCGCACCGCCCAACTAGAAGAAAAGACGGATGAAATCATAGCAGCACACAACAATCTCGCCTCAGGATATGAATCCTTTGATGCAAGACTAAACGCACTGGCAGCAAAGATAGCGGACCACGAGGACCGTGATAGGCGAAACAATGTCCGCCTGCGCGGCATCCCCGAGGAGGTTAAACCTACTGAGCTGCTGGAATATGCCACAGAACTATTCAAAGCTTTATGCCCTGATCTGAAGGAGAGCGAACTGCACCTGGATAGAATTCATCGATTACCGCGCCCTAAATTTCTTGCTCCCACTGCTCCGCGGGATGTGCTAACGCGGGTTCACTATTTTACATCCAAGGAAAAAATTATGAGAACGGCAAGGAACACAAGCGCATTGCCAGAAAAGTTTGCAGGTATCCAGCTATTCACAGACCTGTCGGCGGCGACGTTGGCGAAGCGTAAAGAATTTACTCCTTTTACAGCGGCCTTGCGAAACGCAGGACTTCAATACAAATGGGGATACCCCACCCGCCTGATAATAAGACGAAATGGAATAGAACACCAAGTCCACACGGAACAAGATGGACTCCGTCTTCTCAAAGAATGGAATCTCCCTATGCCCACACCAAGCGGGCACGCCGAGGAGGGGAAACATAGGCAATCGCCAAAGACGGTCACTAAAGACTGGCTCACGGTGTCCAAATACAAGTGAAAGACTTGTACATCCAAACACAGGAGAACTGTACTCCTGGTTACGCCACCTGAAGATACGTGAGCATGTATCACTGCCTAACGGCAGCTTTAATGCATGAGAAATGTATTGCTTTATTTAGTTGATTTGTTAGCTTTTTTGTTGTAACCACTTATGATAGGTGGAGGTTGTGTTATTGGGTAGGAGAGTTGACCTAAATATAGGGACGAAGTGACCCAGAGACAGAAGGGTAAAACATATGCATATAATTACCCCCCCCCCAGATAGGCTCTGAAGAGCCACAAAACTATACTAGATGGCAGACACTTCAGATCTGCCAACCACTTTGTATATAGTTGCCTTCGGGCGTTTAATCACCCTATACCCCTCTTCTCCCACCCCATTTCTCTTGAAGTATCCAACAGTAACCTTGGACACTTACGTCCAGCGATTAAAGGGACAAGCTACACAGAATGCTCAAATATATCGAATCTATCAGGTATACACACAGTATGCACAATGTTACACTATCAAACCACAGTGGGAAACCCAAATGGAATCTAGCTTTAGGAATCTCTTAGAACTAAGAGGGAATGCAAGTAGCAGGGCTGTAAAGACCTGCATGTCTGGATGGCTGTTGCATCTTAATCACCACCAATATTCTAAGGCGTATTTAGCAAGCTATGAGACCTGCCAAAGATGACTCTGAAAATAATATCACTAAACGCTAAGGGTCTTAATTCCCCTCACAAAAGGAGACTTGCACTTAATGAAGCTACTAAGCTTAAAGCCCAAATTGCATTTTTCCAAGAGACTCATTTCCTGACCACTAAGATGCCCAAATTCACGTCAAAACAATTTCCCTTAGGGTTCCATGCAGGGTATGCCAAAAAGAAGAGAGGCGTCTCTATTTTAATACACAAAGATGTTACCTTTAAACTCTGCAAAAAAGTCAGGGACAAAGAAGGCAGGTTTCTCCTACTACATTGCACTATAAATGAGGACCCATTCACACTACTGAATGTATATGGCCCACATGAGAACCAGAAAGACTTCATCTCCAAAATTATTTCTCTAGCCCGCAAATTTCCTTGCAATAACTTGATTATTGGGGGGGACACAAATTTTATACTTGATAGTGCTGTTGACACGACCTCCACATATACAGTGAATCGCTCCACCTCACGAAAACGCACCCACATCACACAACAAATACGGCAAACGTTACATGGAGCAGGCCTTCTAGACATATGGAGGATATTACACCCATCAGAAAAAGATTTTACTTTTCACTCACAAGTTTACAATTCATACTCCAGAATAGACAGATTCCTAGTACCCACCGCTATGGTTCGTACAGTCTGCGATGTTCAGATAGGGACGATAACATGGTCAGACCATGCACCTATACTACTCACGATACAGGAACTTTTCCCGCATAAAGGCCAGGGCACATGGAGAATCAACGAAACACTACTACGCGACCCACACATAGTTAAAAGCATTGAAGAAGACATTCACACTTTCTTTGACCTCAATGACAAGGGAGAGACCTCCGTTGACACAAACTGGCAAGCGCATAAAGCTGTAATCAGAGGGAGCCTGATTAAACATGCCAGCTATAAAAACAAACAAAGAACTGCTAAACACACAGACCTCATAAAACAAATAACGGAGCTGACCCATGCAAACAAATTAAATCCTTCCCAAATGCATTACGAGGCCCTTAGAACTTTGCAAACGCAACTAAACGATGCAGAGATAGAGAAGACTAATTACATCTTACACAAACACCGACATAAATTTTTTGCACATGGTAATAAATCTGGCGCTGCATTGGCAGCGAAACTCAAGGAACGCCTCCTGAACTCCAAAATAGCCTATCTGTTGACAGCTGACAAACAAAAAATTTTGCACCCGCAACATATAGTAGACGAATTTGCAAAATACTACAGTACTCTATACAATCTCAAAGAAGCAGAGGATACACACGTCCCTACTCCCATCCAGATTCAAGATTTCCTATCTAAAATCAATCTACCCACTCTCACAGACGAAGAAATAGCACAAATCACGAGCACATTCTCAGAATCAGAGGTGGCTGCAGTGATAAATAAACTACCCACACATAAATCGCCAGGCCCTGACGGTTTCACGAACCTATACTATCAAACATTTGCAAAGGTTTTACTGCCACACATGACACAGCTTATCAATCACTGTTACACCAACGGTTTCATGCCAAAAGAGATGCTTCAGGCACATATTTCCACATTGCCGAAACCAGGCAAACCTGCCGACGTATGCCCAAATTTCCGACCCATATCCCTACTGAACTGCGATACTAAGATTTATGCGAAATTGATAGCAGAGAGACTGAAAGGTATACTGACACGTATTGTACACAACGACCAGTCAGGTTTCATTAAACAGAGACAAGGGTCTGACAATACTAGGAAAATACTGAATATTTTAGCCCATATGGAAACCCAGCACACTGAAGGTCTTCTCCTAGCGCTGGACGCGGAGAAGGCCTTCGATAGATTGAATTGGCAGTACATGGAACAGGTGATGCTTAGGTATGGTTTTCCATCGTCCTTTATCAACGGGGTCATGGCACTATACACACAACCCTCAGCCAGGGTAACCAACGCAGGCTTTGTCTCGAGCCCATTTACTATCACAAATGGGACGAGGCAGGGGTGTCCACTGTCACCCCTGTTGTTCGTACTATCCCTGGAACCCTTAGCGCATATAATCAGAAACCACACTCAGATCAGGGGCATACAGGTGGGAACTGAGGAATTTAAACTGGCTATGTTCGCTGATGACATTTGTATAACCCTGGCAGATCCGGGGGACTCCCTGACCGAACTTTTGGGTGTGCTCCGGGAATATAGTACAATCTCATACTATAGACTTAATCAAGCGAAGACCCAGGCCCTACCAATTAGGCTGCAGACGGAGATGGTACGATCACTGAAGCACAAACATAAATTTGACTGGAGAAATACCCACATAACGTATCTAGGAGTGAAAATAGCACCCACACTTAGGGGAATTAGCACACTCAACTACTCCCCGCTACCACAAATATGCCGGCAATTATTACACAAATGGAAAGGTGTATGGTTATCATGGCTAGGAAAGATTAATGCTGTAAAAATGGTGATCCTCCCCAAACTTTTATATGTTTTTAGGATGCTCCCTATTCCCCTATCTGCCTCAATAAGCAAACAAATACAACGTCTTATAAACAAATATACGTGGGAAAATAAGAGACCACGCCTGCCGAGCGTACTGCTACAAATGCCAGTAAACCGAGGAGGGACAGGTCTCCCTAACATAGCGCTATATCACAAAGCTGCAATACTAGAAGCGGCAATCAAACTACATGCCCCCGCAAATACGTTCCAATGGGTAGATATGGAGAATAATTATTCCCCGCGATCCTCGCTGGTAGATATCCTATGGACACCCAAACATCTCAGGGATAAAAATGCCACAATGCTACCTACATCTAGAACCACAATCCAAATATGGGACCATCTCCATAAAAAATTTGAGAATATTACGAAATTCTCTCCATGGGCCCCGATAACAACGCTCCACTCCATCTCCCCATGGCTATCGTTACATAAATGGAAAGACAAGGGCATCACACACATCACCGATATCTATCAAAATGGAACCGTGTTGTCCTTCCCTGACATTCAACTCAAATATGCCTTACCATCTAACTACATATTCCCATACCTCCAACTCAAAAGCATAATCAACGATAGGGTCCACACCCAGACTCAACATACTCCCGCTCCTAACCCAGACCTTATAGCTATATACAATAGGTGCCGGAACACACCAATCAAAGCCAAAGCTTTATCCCTTGGATATGCTGCCTTAGGACAACACCCCCTACTAACGAATTTCGCTTTTACGATACAATGGCATAAAGAAGGACTCCCACAGCTAAATAGTGAGCAGTGGCTACAGTCACTTGGGGCACTCAAAGGAGTGACTTCTTGTTACTCACACATAGAGGCACATAAGAAACTTGTATATCGGTGGTACCTCACACCCCACAAACTACATAAAATTTACCCAGCAACACCCAACACGTGCTGGCGATGCTTTCAAGAGGTAGGGACGATGAAACATGTCTGGTGGGATTGCCCAAACATTATTCCACTGTGGACTGAAGTCCAAAGACTGGGCAATTCTCTAGGGCTTATGAAGGGAACTCTAACTCCCACCATGAGTCTGTTGTTTCTGATGCCTGCTCAAATTCCTGCACAGGACAAACAACTACTGATTATGATGGCACTTGCTGCGCGCAATCTTATTGCATGCAACTGGAAACAACAGACTTGCCCGACGCTACAGCAACTACTCCACAAGACACAACAGTATCTGAGACATGAAATGATGATCACTACGACACCCAGACGCAGAGATGTCACACATAATAATTGGCAAAAATGGAGTAAATACATAACTGATAGTACACACGCAGGGTAAATTGCCAGACACACATAGGCAGCCTTACAAACGAGGACGGGCTCAAACACGACATGACATAAGAGACGCGACTGACTAAAACTGGCTGGATACACAGGTGTATGTATTAACGAAAGCACAAACGTAATGTTTGTAACAAAGTGTATGTATCTGTATGTATCTGAATACTGATAACTATTACACTGTACCTATCTACTATATGCTTGTGGATACACCCCCCCCCTTTTTCCTTTCTGTACCCCCCACATGGCTGTTTGGAAAACTCAATAAAATACGAATATGAAAAAAAAAAAAATGTATGGGTTAGCACTTTGAATTGACTCCTATAGCATACAGGGAACCAATGTAAGGACTGGCAGAGGGGTGAGGTGTGAGAGGACAGACTAGAGAGGAAAATCAGTCTAGCTGCAGCATTCATTTCAGACTCTAGCGGGGCAATACGGCTTTTGGGGAGACCAATCAGGAGAGGGTTACAGTAATCCATGCGGGAAATTACTAGAGCATGGACAAGCTCCTTGGTAGCATCTTGCGTAAGAAAGGGGTGGATGCGGGCTATGTTTTTGAGTTGGAACCTACAGGACTTGACAACAAACTGGATGTGAGACTCAAAAGTGAGACCAGAGTCAAGTATGACGCCAAGACAGCGTGCTTGCAGGGATGGACTTATGTGGATATCACTGACTTGAAGGGAGAGCGAGAGAGGAGGATCAGTATTAGGAGGAGAAAAGACAAGGAGTTCAGTTTTAGAGAGGTTAAGTTTCAGAAAGCGTGAGGACATCCAGTCAGAGATGGAAGAAAGGCAAGCAGTGACACATTGCAGGACGGCAGGGGAGAGGTCCGGAGAGGAGAAGTATATCTGAGTGTCATCAGCGTACAGGTGGTAGTGGAATCCAAAAGAGGTAATAAGTTTACCAAGAGAGGCAGTATAAAGAGAAAATAGAAGGGGACCAAGGACAGACCCTTGGGGAACTCCAACCGAGACAGGACGAGGGGAGGAGGTATCCTTGGAAAAGGAGACACTGAATGAGCGTTGGGAGAGATAGGAGGAAAACCAAGAGAGGACAGAGTCACAGAGACCGAGCGATTGAAGAGTTTGAAGGAGGAGAGCATGATCAACGGTGTCAAATGCAGCAGAGAGGTCAAGGAGAATTAATATGGAGTAGTGACCTTTGGATTTAGCGGAGATTAGGTCATTAGTCACTTTGATAAGAGCAGTCTCAGTCGAGTGGAGAGGGCGGAAGCCAGACTTAAGAGGGTCAAGGAGAGAGTTGGAATTAAGGAAGCGAGACACACGGGTAAAGACAAGTCTTTCCAAGAGCTTTGATGAGAAAGGGAGCAGGGATATGGGACGATAGTTAGAAGGGGAGGATGGGTCAAGAGATGGTTTTTTCAGGATAGGTATTACAGTGGCATGTTTAAGGTCAGCAGGAACAGTGCCAGAAATTAGATAGATGAGTTACAGTTGCAAGAAAAAGTATGTGAACCCTTTGGAATGATATGGATTTCTGCACAGTTTGGTCATAAAATGTGATCTGATCATCTAAGTCACAACAATAGACAATCACAGTCTGCTTAAACTAATAATACACAAAGAATGAAATGTTGCCATGTTTTTATTGAACACACCATGTAAACATTCACAGTGCAGGTGGAAAAAGTATGTGAACCCCTAGACTAATGACATCTCCAAGAGCTAGTTGGAGTGAGATGTCAGCCAACTGGAGTCCAGTCAATGAGATGAGATTGCAGGTGTTGGTTACAGCTGCCCTGCCCTATAAAAAACACATACCAGTTCTGGGTTTGCTTTTCACAAGAAGCATTGCCTGATGTGAATGATGCCTCGCACAAAAGAGCTCTCAGAAGACCTACGATTAAGAATTGTTGACTTGCATAAAGCTGGAAAGGGTTATAAAAGTATCTCCAAAAGCCTTGCTGTTCATCAGTCCACAGTAAGACAAATTGTCTATAAATGGAGAAAGTTCAGCACTGCTGCTACTCTCCCTAGGAGTGGCCGTCCTGTAAAGATGACTGCAAGAGCACAGCGCAGACTGCTCAATGTGGTGAAGAAGAATCCTAGAATGTCAGCTAAAGACTTACAAAAGTCACTGGCAAATGCTAACATCCCTGTTAGCGAATCTACAATACGTAAAACACTAAACAAGAATGGATTTCATGGGAGGATACCACAGAGGAAGCCACTGCTGTCCAAACAAAACATTGCTGCACGTTTATAGTTTGCACAAGAACACCTGGATGTTCCACAGCAGTTCTGGCAAAATATTCTGTGGACAGATGAAACCAAAGTTGAGTTGTTTGGAAGAACATGTGTGGGGAAAAAAAAGGCACAGCACACCAACATCAAAACCTCATCCCAACTGTGAAGTATGGTGGTGGGGGCATCATGGTTTGGGGCTGCTTTGCTGCGCCAGGGCCTGGACGGATTGCTATCATTGAAGGAAAAATGAATTCCCAAGTTTATCAAGACATTTTGCAGGAGAACTTAAGGCCATCTGTCTACCAGCTGAAGCTCAACAGAAGATGGGCGTTGCAACAGGACAATGACCCAAAGCATATAAGTAAATCAACAACAGAATGGCTTAAACAGAAGAAAATACGCCTTCTGAAGTGGCCCAGTCAGAGTCTTGACCTCAACCCGATTGAAATAATGGAGAAGTCTCAACCTCTATAGTCCGGTGCTCTTTGAAAAGCTTTGTAAGAGGTTTATTAATTAAATATGGTGCAGAATTCAAACCTAAGAAAGGTGCATCACTACAAGAATTGAGGATAGAACTGGCTAAAAAAGAACGTTTAAATAAAATTAGTGTGACCAGGGAACTAACGGAAGAAATAACTAAGATAAAGATATCTATTAAGGATAAAACATACGAGTGGGTTAATAAAAATATTGTGTTCCTTAAACAAAGATGGTATTATAATAATAATAATAAGATCAATAGGGATCTATCAAACAAATTAAAGTTTCATCTTAAAGATAAATCTATTAAAAAAAATAACTCTGGGGGATTTCCACTTAACATCACCTAATGACATTGCTAGGGCCTTTGTGTACTATTATAGTTCTTTATACAATTTAGATGTGGTAGGGGCTGATAAGAGTGAGACTGATAAGTTCTTAAGGAAACTCGACCTTCCAAGAATTAACACTCCTTATAGGCCTGCTGATGCAGGTTGTCATCCAGCTGAAAATTACAGCTGGATGACAACCTGCATCAGCAGGAGTATAAATTTGGACTGGTCTGCGTCCATTTTT